ATATATATTATATATATATAAATAATATGAAATTCGATAAAACACAATGCTGCGACTACTGAGGTGTATTATCCGTTTTAGCATTTTGTGTTATTTATGCAAAATTAGGATCGAGTTTCGTACATTTTTCAAAGAGAACTGTAAAATAATAAAATGATTGTGAAAAGATATTCTATCCGCGATAACAGACTGAGGGTCTAATTGCTTATTAAGGTCATGACGCAACATCGAATACAGTAAAGCCGTTAGTCAAATTATTTAAATGTCACAAATCATGAATAATAAATTAGCAAAGCCCGTACTCGGGGGACGTGACGAGAAATTTGCATAGCTCATACGAAGCCATCAAACACTATTGAATATAAAACAGCGTAAGAGAATCGAGAGAATTTTTTACGTGCTATTATTCGGTTAAATACACACTTGAAAATCGTCTCATCTAGATTTTCTTCAAAGTTTCCTCGTTCGGATCTGCGCAGCATCAGAGATGAAGTATCGGAAACGGCTACATTATATCTCGTATACGGGTTCTTTCGCCGTAAGTCAACATAGCGGAATTTGTAAAGCGAGTGTTTGCTATCAGCTAGTGCGAAATGTGGCGCGTATCGGACGAGGGCTGCTGGGCGGTTCGTCAACTTGCTACAAAAATATACAGAGCATTTTGATCTTCTTGCGATATGGGTATTTAAGCTTGGCTCGCGGATATCATGCATGTCAATAATGATCCTCTGGAATTCAGTCAAATATCTTCTACGTAAATCTCATGACGGCATCGACTCTTACATAACACATGTGGTTATATACGCGTTATTATTTACGCGCAACTTTATTACACGCAACACTATTACCGCTACTGCCGCCATGAGTAGCTAAAAATTTATGTGAATAATCTAGGTAAGTATGATAATATAATTTGCAATAGGAAAAGCTATTATCACCGCAAAATGTTTTATATAAATAAAATTATTCGTGGAGAATTAGATCGAATAAAGACGTAAGGACTTTGGGCGCTGAGCGATAGTTAACGTCGCCGACTGACAGGACAACAACGTATACACATACGGTGAGCTTGCATGTATCTCGTGGCTTAATATAGATGTGCATGTCGGCTTCGTAGTGCCGCGTGTATCCATACATAATGACGCGTACATATACACACAGACATGGTGCAACTGTTGGGAATGTGGTCGCGCTGGCGGCGGCGACACATTCTCTTCCTTTCTCCCCTCTCTCCCTCTCGCGCTCTCTCTCTCTCTCATTCACTCACTCACTCACTCACTCACTCACTCACTCACTCACTCACTCACTCACTCACTCACTC